TATGGTGTATTCTGTACCAGTGGAGTGACTGTTAAAAGTCTGGGTAACCAGTATTTGTTTGCAAGTCAGACATCGTTTGTTCCCGCAAACCTTGTAACATCATAACTGTCGTCACCGTTAAAGCTTTAGAATTGTGCTAGTTCATATCGCACATTATTATTTTTATTTAAAGCATATATTTGAACTCTCTGCTGTAATTAGTCATATAACCTATGTCGTGTTTAACACATATTTAGAATTGTGCAAGCGTCTTACCTGATGTTCGGTTTGACTTTTTTATTGTATAAATTTCAAGATTGTTATAGTTTAATTTAAGTAGACTGATATATGATTCATTCAACATCACAATCATATTTACTGATGAAGGATATCTGTTATCCGAAATATTTATAAATAATTACATTTATAGTTCCTGTTTTTGTTATTGGTGTTGTTGTGTACACTTTTTAGGCGTTTATATAATTTATTTATTGTGTACATGTATCGTTACTCGTAACGATCCAGCGCCCTCGTGGGAAAAATCGTTGACTATTATTCAGACGTTTTATATATATATATATATATGGCATGTACAAGATTCATTGACGTAAAATATTTCGAAGTTGCAGGTTTGAGCTACATGTAAAGTTTTATAATTTGATTACACAACTGGTCAGAAATCCAAGTAAAGGTATGCTACTTTAAGTTAATTAAACTTTCAACGGCATTTTTAAATGATATTTGTGTTTAGACCAAACATTTTGCGATATCCTCCTTCACTATAAGAGTACGGTCAAACTGTAACAGGTTCTTTTTATACTTATTATATTAAATTGGAAAGATTAAAACATTATATCAATTGTGGTATATATGAAAGATAGTGATGCCAGCTATGAAATAGGAACAAAGGGCTTGGAATTTCGCATTTCCGCCTGGGAGAACATGTTTTATTTATTAATAACTTTTCAGTAACTGAGGGAACAATGTTAGATCGGTACTTTGTGTTTTTGTAAATTTTTGGTTGTTGGAACTTAAAACTCTATAATTTTGACTTTGTAAGTGAAACAAAAAGGAGGGGGCGCAAGACATTTTTGCGAAAAATTTGAAACTACCGTAGGATACTTTTACTTTTGCGCTAAAACGTCCGATTTTTTGTAGCTTAAATGTCCTATTAATGCGCTAAAATGTCCTCTCCGTCGGGGGAGGCTTGCTGAATTTCTTTTTTTTTTATATCAATATTTGTATATTTAAGCCCTTAGCTGTTAGATAAACCATGAACAGCGTTTGAATTCTTTATGAAATTATCCCTTTTTTTTAAACGTGCACATCTCTTTTACAGGACATGTTGCAGCTCCTTAAATGAATAAATATCTGTTACAATACTTTAATCCACACATTTTTGTAGTTGTATCTTAATTTTACGTTCGCAATACCAGCTTCCATGCATAAGAAAATATTGATAAATGAAGCTTTATAGTGTGCAACAAAGAGGGTTTATCAACGAAACTTAAAACACATACGATGTATAATACAGGTTAGAATATATACAAATTCAAAGAAAAAATCTTCTTTATAATTATTTGGCGTCAGAGCAGTATGAATTGTTTAGATGACTTTCTCTTTCTGTTTACCACATGTGCATATTCAATATAAATATATTAAGTACATTCTTCTCAGTAGATTATTGCATCAACTTCAAAGCAGTTTGCTAAAACGTAAACAAAGGCTGATAATGTGATAGCTGGCTGATCATTTCTTAAACATCCAAGTATTATTGTAGTTGTATGCATCAAATTGGTAATGTACGTTTTACGTTAAGGACGATATAAAGGGCGAATCTGAGGCAAATGTATATGTACAAAGCAACAGTATTCTCTATAAAACAATAAGAAAGAAAGGAAATCCTCAGTGCTCAATTGTTTGGTATTGAGAATTTTTATAACTTGAAATCGTATTCTTCAAAAAAGTTTAAAAAAATAATAAACATCGAGCTTTTCAAAAATATAATTCATTTCCTTTGCCTTATTCAGCACTGGTAAAAGCATTTTCATGTTATTTAAATGCATCAGTCATACAGTTATAGTTTTTCCCAAAAATTATCGCATACATAAAACCTGACCCATCTGTAAATAGTATCATGAATAGATAGTACTCAAAACTAAAATTGAAATATAACGTCATTATTTTTTCCCAGTAAATGTTTTAAATGTCAATCAAAGTTTGTTTTCTGTACATCCGTCTTATAATAAATTAAATCGTTTCAAAACGTTTCTAGATAACAATCAGTGTTATATGAGATTATAAATTATAGTGTTTTTATTAAATATTCTAGTGATAAATAAAAAAACCAAGGCAACATTATAAGCTCTAGATATATGCACCGTCAAATGTAAATTCCCTATTTTGTATTAACAGGGGTTATAGTTTGACCATTGCAATATTCCATTTCAATGTTCCCTTAATGGAGCAGTTATCCCCGAGTGCTGCTGTAATTTTTTGTCAGAGAATGCTCAAAACTAGTACAGTATAAGTTATATCAAACCAACCGTGTATACAGATTTCTAATGAGAAAATTAAACTGAATTCATTCTAAATTGGCGTATACAGTTAATATCCACAGAATAAATATAGCCTCCGATGTCAAATGGGACCAAATACATGCAGTATTCTAAGCTAATCAACTGAAACATGTGGACTCCCAGTGTACAATGGGGACACACAAGTGCCAAACAATATTATTATATTATAATTGATTATGTTAATACAAATTTAAAGTAAAACTTCTGAAAGAATTGTTTATAATCTGTAACATTTTTATAATTGCTTCTATCATTACAATTTCAGACTAGTATTTTATACATCTGATGATACCCACAATAATAGTTTAATATAAAAATAAGGTGATATAATGGTATGATTGCCAATGAAACAATTATCTATCAAGGATCAAAGGACAAGGATATATACATGTACAGGTTATTCAAGCACCCATGTTTTATTAAATAATAATTAGGCAATTTTGAACTTTGCGAAATCATCAGTAGTCGAAATGGTGATGCCAGCCACTAAAGAGGAATCAATTAACTCCGTGGACGTGTTTGAAACTGTAATAAACAGTTCATTACTCTTTTAAACTTGAACTCGTTTGCTTAAGGTCAAGTTACAGTAAATAGGCTATGTCACAGATTTTTCTAAAAAAAAAAAAAAAGGCATACAACTTTGGCTCGTTAAACTAACTGAAAATCGAAAAAATATGCCATTTATCTCTTTTATTATCTGAAATATTACTGATTGAAATTTTTCAAAATAGGTGAACATTTGTATAGAAAGCACATAAAATCGTCTAAAATTTGTCTTAAAATCATCAATTCTCCAATTTCTATTACATAGATTTTTCTTAAAAAACTATATGTTGTTGATACATAAATTTCCGTTTTAATGATATAAAATAATGACATGGTCACCGCCTTCGTTTTTAGTCTAATAATCAATCTGTTACCTAATGGGTAGTGAAAAACGTCAAAAACTTACGTTTTACGGCCTGCAACGCGATGACGTTAAGATTATTTCGCCGTTTTGTGGTATTTTTTTTTCACATAGAACACCACTTTGAATGATGTATACCATAAAAACGAAGTCGATGACCCTATTATTATTTTACATCATTAAAACGGAAATTTATGCATCAACAACATATTAATTTTTAAGAAAAAATCTATGTATTAGAAATTGGAGATTTGATGATTTTAAGGCAAGTTTAAGAAAACATTTCGCCGGTTTTATGTGCTTTCTATACAAATATTCGCTTTGTTGAAAGAATTTAATCAGTAATATTTCAGATAAAAAAAGATATATAAATACATTATTTTTTCGATTTTCAGTTATTGTTCAACGACCCAAAGTAGTATGCAAAATTTTAGTAAAATCTGTGACATAGCTCATTTACTGTTCCTTTACCTTAAAAGGACATTTATTGCTAAATTCATTATTATCGAATTGACTCAAACTCTTTAATTTGATTTATAACGTACAAAAATATTTACCAGAATTACTAGGTTCGAGTGAAAAAAATGAACAAGGCAAGAAATCGTAATAAAGTATCAGAATTTCGTGCGTTTTTTTAGGACTAGACACTAATCAACCATCGAGATGACCTCAGAAGATGGTCTTGTTGTCTAATAAAAACATAAATATAGATAGACAGACAACAATAGTATAATGATGATTTTATATATCTGTTTGTCAATCGATTCTCTTTTATATTGTTTTACATTTTGTCATTTCAGGGCCTTCTATAGCCGACTATACGTAATGGGTATTCTTCATTGTTGCAGGCCATCATTCGGTGACCTATTATAGGTTGCTTACATCTACGCCATTTGAACTTTGGTGGATAGCTGTCTCATTGGCAATCATATCACATCTTCTTATTTTTATAAACATTGTCATTGTACGATAAACTAAGATTACTGACATCAATAGATTGTACGATAAACTAGGATTACTGACACCAATGAACATAACTGCATGGGCTCTAGATCAATTTAGAAAGGATAGGTTGTGCGATAGGGACTGTTTATGCATGTATTCGATTTACTTCATATTTTATAAGTTTGACATATTATTCATAATAACTAAAACTGAAAAATTCAGTTATATTTTTTTCAGGTATTTATGCCTATATGAAGAGTCTCTGAAATAAGCAATTTAATAATGGTCTGTTCGATCGACTGCAGATGTATCACTTAAATGCTTTGTATTATTGAAACAAAAATATATCATTGTCGCATTACCTGAACGATAAAATGCCAATATTAACAATAAAAATGGGGTTCAAGTCAAAGACAAAGCTATTAATATGTAAATGTAATGTAAGATACTAAAATGGAACTGCAAATGTCACAAGAACATAATATCGCCTTTATTTCTATATATATATATCAATGATCGTTTATTAATTTGAGCACACTTATGATGTAAAAATTTCAATCGTGTAGACTATAAATGAAAACTTAACTTACTTCATAAACATTACAACTCCAACTTTGGACATGTCTTCTTGGATAATTTTCCATGAATCAACCACCAGTTGTTTTTGCCGATCTGTAAATTCCGGAAAGGGTTCGGAATGACACCTCCCATTACTTGGCGAATCGTTTTGTTCATTGTTTTGTTTCAAATAATTTTTGGTCCGCTTTGTTGGTGTAACGTCGATTCCTTTGCGGAGAGCATCTTTCCTTCGTTTTGTATTAATACATCCCATGATACGGAAAAGTTGTATGTTATGTTTACTATAGTTCAGTTGTATTGAAAAATCTCAACCATTGTAACTGGGAATAATAGTAGTATAAGAGCTTCATTTGAATTCCTTATCGAAGACAAGACATTCCTAAATGAATAAACTCTGATTTTAAAATCATTACAACGTTTGTGGTAATCATATCCTACAATTTTCTCTATTCAATCTACTCGAGAATGAATTATAACGGAATATTATCCAATAGGAACAGCCAGAACGCCGAATGATCTTGGTCGATATACAAAATCACATAGATTACACGGGCTTATTGAACCTTTGATTTGAAGTAAAGAATCTCAATATTAACCCCAAGAAGATCGAAATCATTCAAAAACTGGCAAACAATTAATTCGCTTTATTATAGGGATGTTACTAAATAACTTGTGGTTATGATTGACGGATCAACAGCGAACTCTGTATCAAGTTGTTTATATATACAATTTCTGAAATAAGTTATTGTAGGAAAATAAATATATTGGTTTTGATCTGACTGCTGAAAAGATAAATATGAATTTTTCCACAAGAAGCAAGTAAGTGTATGTTAAAACATGTACTCGTTATTAATAACTAAATATGTAAGTTACTTCTTTTAATGAATTTATATACCAAACCAAATGATTCTCGTAACAGAAAAGCTCACTGTTACAATAACTTAAATAAATTTGAGATGGATTCGCACTTTTAGATGTTACGTAATATATATCGTATAAAATAAGTCAATATACGAGAGTTATCGTTGTCTAAATCCTGAAAAGCTAATGTTGCATTTCTTTTATAGTATTAAGATCAACCCCCACAAGGAAAGTAATACACAAGATTTATGTGATAAGGAGACTTTTCTTTCACATATATCATTTTGTATCATGTTTACGAGATTTTGTATGCCGAGATAGAGATGTACGTTGGGTAAAGCATCTGTATTTTCAAAACAGTTTTCCCAGATGACAATTTTTTTCTAGTCTTTGTTTCATCTTCTGTAAACTTTAGATAAGATATTAACATCAAAGTAAACTTTGTATTCATCAGTGTGGTAAAGTAAAAGAGGCATGAATGATTAGAAAGCAATTGGCATATAACTTGTCTTCTCTGTTGGTAATCTTGTTGTTCAGTACATAGTTTAATTACCGTTCATCCATTCCAAGTTATTTTGCTTTCATAGTAAAACTTCCCTAGAGGCAACCGATACGCGTTCCTAAACAAACTCTCTACAAGAAAAAGTTTGATTTTTTTAATGTAAAGTGTAAAGACTCAAGTCAGGGACATTTCTTAATATGGAAATATTTTTTTAAGTATGAAGTTTTCCAAAAGAGAAATCAATATTTAACCAAAGGCGTTGTGGGAGTTTTGTAATCATTTGTGTGCTCGCACATTTTATACATTTAATCTGGTAATGCAATTAATATCTACAAGTAAATCAGACCTTCAAGGTAATATTTGTCACTACATAATTGAAAAACAAAGGATATGGGGTATCCATCCATGACACAAAAGCAGTACATGCACAACAAAAAACACATAAAAGCAAAGTACATTTATAATTTGTTTAATTGATTGATTGTTGCTTACTTAACGTCCAGTAGCAATTATAGCATATATATTCACGACGAGAACAAATTAACAATTAGTGCCATAGGTAGGTCCTGGAAGGTAGGACGACAGGGATAAAGGACGGTAAATTTCGACTGCCACTTAAAATAAAGGTTTTGTTAGATAGTGACAGAAGGCCACTTACGGACCCCGCAGAGTTTTGTTGCAAGAGTTCTTATATGTGCAGAGAGCGTACGTGGTACTCATCCAACACGAGGCATTGGATTTGACGTCCCCTATCCGACCGGACGTGGCTGTGATGTTATACATCCCGCACAGCTTAACGGACGCTCAATTTTAGCAAGGGTTTACAGTGGGGACGGAATAAGTCCAGGTGACCATAATTCAACCCTTGACGTTTCAAAATTTGAAAGCTTGTGCCTAATCTTGTTGAGATTGTGGCATTGAAGTATGATTTTTCTCTCCGGTATGAAAATTTGGTCAAATATGGATTTCAGAGATTTTCATTTTTTTATTCAAACAGCTTCAATAAACATGTAAAATTACAAATAAAAAAAATGATAACTTTGACAGTTATATATTGACTTACTAATTTACAAATCAAACATTTTCTATGGTTTGAATGACAAGCACCTGAACTAGAGGCTCTAAAGAGCCTATGTCGCTCACCCGCATCTTTAACTATGGCAACGTTCTAATATTGTAAACTAGAATATGATTCATGACTATAATCTCTTTTTTACCATCTCTTGTTGATCATTTTTACTGTTGATATTTTCTACATAAGGTTTTGACTCAAATCCAAAAACAATAGTAATGATCCTCATTTAAGGGCAAAAGCTCCTATAAGGAGTCAACTGACAATGTTGGCTATGTTCACCTATTTGTAGATCTTGTCTTTGCTGATCGTTTTGCTGTTAATAGTTTTTCTTTATCCGCCAAAGTTTCCAAAAAAATGTAAAAATTGATAAAATCCTCTTTAAACGGCAATGAAATTAGTCGAAGATAAATTATTTTTTTATTAGGTGCTATTGGCTTTGAACTTGCTAGTCGAGACAAACTTATGTAGAAAATATCAACAGTAAAAATGCTCAGCAAGACAAAATTGTCTCTATCTAAATTATAATTAAAAACGCAACAAATTGTTAAAAACCATCCTTTGAGGGCAATAACTCCTAAAAAAATATGACAATTACGACCATATTCACTTATTTATGGATCTTGTCTTGTTGGTCATTTTTGCTATTTAAAGTTTCTCTCTATATCTATTATAGTTTTCAAGAAAAAAAAACTAAAATGAAAACAAGTGTAACATTCTTGTCATTTAGAGAGAATAACTCCTATAAGAAGATAGCCACTGACGATTGTGGCCAAGTTTGGTTCCTATTCACCCTGTAGTTTCAGAAGAAGATTTTAATTATAGTTAGCGAATGACGGACGACGGACACCAAGTGATGAGAATAACTCAATTGATCATTCGGGTCAGGTGAACTAAAAGACTCGGTGTTTGTATCAGTCTATTGAAAGTGCGAATCGAGAAATCCGTTTCTTATGTGGAGTAGCGATATTTTCTTTTGTAAATGAGATGTATTGTGGGGAATTTTCAGACGAATGTTGCCATTTGTAGGAATAAAACAAAATTCATCGGAAAGTACTTGTTCATTCTTTTTAAAACATAGATATATTTAGCAGGACAAACGTATATACAACTTGCCATGTATTTTGAATATTTCATCCCAAGTATGTTGTATTTATACGAGTGAATATGCATTTGCCTTAAATAAAACCTATTTCCCCGATGTATTATTTTGAGGCATCCAAATTCTCTGACAATGATGTTACAAAGATAGTGGAATGGCTATTGAACTTATTCGATTGCATTCTACGCCATAATCACTTAATGCTATTTTTTCTCATATGAATGCGACGTTTTTCTAATAGAAAAGCGATATGATTTTATTATGAAAAACGTTTCCAATGCGATATTTTTCTAATAGAAATGCGATACTTTTTTCATATGATAAAATACGATAATTTGTCACAATACATTTAAACAAAATAGAAACACCGACAATTATTCACGACAGGTTCGATGGTACAGGCAAAATATCACTGAAATTTCATATATATAGATGATGTACTCACATAATAAACCAATTATACGTGTATCGATGTTCAATATTCCTGCGCGTCGATCAATTTTGGATTTACAAAATCAATATTGCACAGTATTTACCACCTTTCAACTTCCGCTGAAAAACAATATCTGACTAGTGTCAGTCTAGAACAACAAATTGTTGACGCAGATATATGTATCATCTGTCATGTCTTTATGTAATTTTAATAGTTAAACAGACTTATTCAGAAGGGCTGTAGTTACGATCATATGGTCTTTGTATCGGAAATAACACATTTATTCTAAAACCAGTTGTTGGCATGATACGGGTTATGTTCTTCTCATATATTTTATGATGGTATGATACTAAACCCCTAACGGGAGGGACAGTACTTGATTTTCATATGATGCAGACATAATCTTTCAATCAGTTTAATTGAGGTCTGGAGCTGGCATGTCAGAAACTGCTAGTAGTCATTTGTTAATTTATGTATCATTGTCATTTTGCTTAGTTTCTCCTGTTACCTTTCCTGACATCGGACTCGGACTTCTATTAAACTGAGTTTTACTGTACGTATTGCTGTGTGTTTGTTTATTCTACATTGGCTAGATGTATAGGGGGAGGGTTGAGATCTCACAAAACATGTTTAACCCCGCCGCATTTTTGCGCCTGTTCCAAGTCAGAGCCTCTGGCCTTTGTTAGTCGTGTATGTTTTTTACACTAGTACACATTTTTGTTTCGGGGCCATAAAAAGGAAAATACTTTATCATGCATTTATTATACAAAACATTAAAAGTCAATGAAACATCGCTGAAGTTGCAGGGCCAAATAATCTCCCCGGAAATGAGATATGATAATGCTGTTTTAACTGCATACCAAATATCGTTGACCTATTGTCAAATATGGTTCTCCTTAAACTGACCTAATCAAAAACTCTAACTGTAAAAAGTAAAATAACAACAATACCGAACTCCAAGGAAAATTCAGAACGGAATGTCCCTTATCAAATGGCCAAATCAAAAACTCAAACATATCAAACGAATGGAAAACAGCTGTCATATTCCTGACTTTGTAAGCGATGCAAAACTTTCGCAGTCAATGAACCATCGGTCAGGGGGGCGATGCCTTATTACCTCCATAAAAATATGCCAATGCTTATACAAATGCATACCAAATATCCATTGACTTATCGTTAGTGGTCCCCCTTTAAAATGTTGATGCCGCCGACGCCACCGAAAACAGCACGCCTCCATTACTTCGTAGAGGCGAGACAAAAACTATCTAGACTGACATTTTTACGTCCTCTTATTTCTGGAAAATCTATATTTGATGAAATGTTACTGCAATTTTATCGAATTATGCATGAAGATTAAAAAGGCCAATAACTGCATTCGATAGGTTAAAATGTGGAAAGTAAGAAGTTCAACATAACTTTGTAGTTGTTAACTAGGAATCGTTTTTCTTTTCCATTACTTAAAGTAAGTTTTATTTTCGAACGATTTATTTGACATGCCGGAAAACTCGTGTTTAGAATTATGATATTATATAAACGTATTTCTAAGTAAACACATT